TCAGACAAAACCCAGAAAAAACCCCTCAATACAATATCCAAAAAGACAATGACAAGATAATATTATGTGATCATTGTTCATCAATGACAGAAGCCTTTAAACAAATAAACCAGAAAAATGAAACCCTGTCACAAGAGAAGACAAAACTTATGGAGCAGGTAAAGGTATTGGAACACAGGGTACAAGCGTTGAGATTTGAATTATCCCAGACTCAAGTTATTTCTCAACAAGATACAGAGATGAACAGTCCAAAATAGAGTTCTCCATCCCAAACAAAAATGGATGAGAAAGGTGTGCATTCCCCAATGAATGCAGCACGATCCACTGTATAGGATAATGATACAGCTAGTCCGGTTCAAACGGTAATCGGTAAAGACACATCAAATCCATTTATAGTTGTCACTTTGCCAAAAAGTGAAGATGGAGGTTCATCGAGAAGAAGACTACCCAGAACATTAACACAGGGAGAAGCGTCAAAAAAGAAGAGTATAATTTAAAAAAAGAAAAAAAATGAAAAAATAGAAAATATAATAAAACATACATTAGAAAACTTTTTTCAAGACAAAGAAGAACAAGACAAACACATGGTTAAGAATCCAAGTCCAAGACCAAGTCCAAATCTAAGTCCAAATCCAGAAAGGACCCAAAGTTCAGGAGAAGATGATAATTATGAAGACAACCTAAATTATCAAGATGCTCAAGATCCATATGAAGATGAGTCAGAAATGAGTTTCGATTCAATAGCTATACATAATTTAGACATGTAAAAACAAAGTCCCTGTTAAACATCAATTAAAGAGCACCAAAGACAAGGAAACAAGGCTGGTATACAGAGCAATAATGATAGCATACCAATGAGAAAAATAAGAAGGAAAAGAAGATGTGACAGAGAAATGCTAGCTGTGCTAAAAGACNATGAGTTTCGATTCAATAACTATACATAATTTAGACACATAAAAACAAAGTCCCAGTTAAACAGCAATTAAAGAGCACCAAAGACAAGGGAAACAAGGTTGGCATACAGAGCAATAATGATACCATACCAATGAGAAAAACAAGAAGGAAAAGAAGATGTGATAGAGAAATGCTAACTGTGCTAAAAGACAAAAAGTGACAAGTGATATAAAGTAAAGAAGACGTGACAAAGAGGTAATGTTAGTTGTGCTAAAAGACAAGTTAAAATTTTGAGTGGAAGAAAAAGTTACAAACACGGAAGGAATCTTCGACCAAGCCATGTAAAGATGGGCCCCAATGAAGTACCATGCAAGGCTGGACAAGATAGATTTCGGAAGAGTTTGGAATCCGTTTTCAAATCCGTCCCAAAATTTAGCTATAAAAAGGAGAAGAAAGCAGAAGAAAAACAAGACCGAAGAGAAGAAAAACACTCTGAAGAAAACCCATCCAACCAACCTTTTCATCATCAACCCCCTTTCCAAAACACTTTGTAAAATATTTCCTTATAAATACTTTAGTAGTTCCTCCTCTAAGCTTGTAAAATAAATAAGGGCTTATGCTTATGTGTGATCGTTTTTAATTCCCAAAGCTCAGTAGACTTTTTCCCTTTCAGGAAACCCATAAACGGTCACACATAAGCATAAGGCCTTATTTATTTTACAAGTTTAGAGGAGGAACTACTAAAGTATTCGTAAGGAAATATTTTACAAAGTGTTTTGGAAAGGGGGTTGATGATGAAAAGTTTGGTTGGATGGGTTTTCTTCAGAGTGTTTTTCTTCTCTTCGGTCTTGTTTTTCTTCTGCTTTCTTCTACTTTTTATAGCTAAATTTTGGGACGGATTTGAAAAACGGATTACAAACTCTTCTGAATTCTATCTTGTCAAGCCTTGCAGGATACTTCATTGGGCCTCATCTTCACATGGCTTGGTCGGAGATTCCTTCCGTGTTTGTAACTTTTTCTTCCACTCAAAATTTTAACTTGTCTTTTAGCACAACTAACATTACCTCTTGTCACATCTTCTTTACTTTATATCGCTTGTCACTTTTGTCTTTTAGCACATCTAGCATTTCTCTGTCACATATTCTTTTCCTTCTTGTTTTTCTCATTGGTATGCTATCATTATTGCTCTATATACCAACCTTATTTCCTTTGTCTTTGGTGCTCTTTAATTGTTGTTTAACTGGGACTTTGCTTTTATGTGTTTAAATTATGTATAGCTATTGAATCGAAACTCATTTCTGACTCATCTTCATATGGATCTTGAGCATCTTGATAATTTATGTTGTCTTCATAGTTATCATCTTCTCCTGAACTTTGGGTCTTTTCTGGATTTGGACTTAGATTTAGACTTGATCTTGGACTTGGATTCTTAACCATGTGTTTGTCTTATTCTTCCTTGTCTAGAAAAAAGTTTTCTAATGTCTGGGAGTTAATGTTCTAGGTAGTCTTCTTCTCGATGAACCTTCATCTTCACTTTTTGGCAATGTGACAGCCATAAACGGATTTGTTGTGTCTTTACCTATTACCGTTTGAACCGGACTAGCTATATCATTATCTGATATAGTGGATCTAGCTGCATTCATTGGGGAATGCACACCCTTCTCATCCATTTTTGTTTAGGATGAAGAACTCTGTTTTGGACTGTTCATCTTTGTATCTTGTTGAGAAATAACTTGAGTCTGGGATAGTTCAAATTTTAACGCTTGTACCCTGTGTTTCAATACCTTTACCTGCTCCATAAGTTTTGTCTTCTCTTGTGCCAGGGTTTCATTTTTCTGGTTTATTCGTTTAAAGGCTTCTGTCATTGATGAACAATGATCACAGAATATTATCTTATCATTGTCTTTTCAGATATTGTATTGAGGGGTTTTTCTGGGTTTTGTCTGAGTGCTGGGGAAATATAGTAGTTTGGTCCTAGTATTTCTCTTGCATAATCTAATGCTTCAGTAAAATCATTAAAACCCTTGAAAAGTGGTTTTTCTATATCCTTAATGGAATCTAGTACTTCTAACCATGTCTGAAAAATATCATTTATCTTACCATGTATAACCACATAATACTTAAATCTTTTGTCTTGGTTTTTATCTGTAAAATATTGTCCTAAGGCATTAAGAGACGCTATAAAATATTTAGTGTATTTCTTATTATATGCTATCCATAAGTTATCAATTAAACACCGTTGAGGTCTGTCTATGACACATTCTGGTAAGACTCTAAATGACATGTTTGATGGTGGAAAAAATATTAAATTATGTTTTCCAAAATTTTTCTTTCAATATTGGTCTGTTCTCCCAAAGGATGTGGCTTAAAATGAAGATTACCTAATACTGTCTGCAAGTATCTGTATGAGGGTGAGGCTTGAATGCCCTTCCCTTTGTCTTCAGTCTTGGAAATTGTTAGTCTCATGTTGTACATGTAAAATACTTGTTTATTAATTGACAGTAATTTTAAGCCTACTTAACTGATCTGCTTAATTATTATCTTTCCTTTAATATGTTCAAAAACCAGATTATATATTGATATAGTATCAATAAAATTTAACCATCTTCTTCTACTACTATTCTTTGCATTTATCTTCTGGTGAAATTTAACTATGGCTTCGCAATCAGTTCTAATTGTTACTTCTTGTTTATTTAATATATATATAATTTATAACTATTTAATCCTTAAATTACAGCTAATATCTCTGCATCTATACTACTCACATTTCCTTTATCTTTATATTTACCACTTTGATAAGCACATATTTTTTTTATTATCTTATCACTATATTTATTTGGTTTTGCTTTTAGAACTGCTCCCCATCCTTCAAAACTATCGTCTATTTATATTATCAAGTAGTTTGTTTCTAGTGGCATATTTAGATTAGGAATATTTTTTATTTTTTCTTTAATTTTTTGTACTAATTTAATGTCTTCTGTATTAAAATATTTTTGTCCTGTAGCTCCTGTCTTAGCATATAATGGTCCTGCTATTTTTCCTAAGTCTTTAATAAATTTTCTGGTATAATTTACTATTCCCAAAAACTTTTGTAGCTCTTTGGTACTATCTAATTTATCTGGCATTTCTAGGGCCTTTTTAGCTACATGGGGTTGTAATTTAATTTTTCCATCCCCTAATATTACTCCTAGAAAATTTATATAATTCTTACATAGTTCCATCTTCTTTTTACTAATTATTATTCCATTATCTACAAATAATCTAAATACTGTCTGGAAATTTCCTAAATGTTCTTTAATATCTTTACTAAATACTAGTATATCATCTACATATACTAAAACAAATCTCTTATATTCTCCAAATATACTATCCATTTTTCGTTGAAAAATTGGTGGAGCTGTTTTTAGCCCGAACGGCATTACTAGCCATTTGAAGTGTCCTTCTGTAACGACCTGACCGGTCATTTTGAAATTTTGTACTTTGATCGCAAGTTCCCGGGCATGACTTGCCCCGTGTAACATATTATGACTGATGTAGATTGTTGGTTTTGGTTTTCAGGAAAAATCGGAATGAATTTGAAGGAACAGTCTCAGTTGAAATCTTTGAATTTGAAAGGTTGACTTATTTGTATATGAGCTTGGATCGGAAATTTTATGATTTGGATAGTTTCGTTGGGTGATTTATGACCTAGGAGCGTGATCGGAAGTGATTTTGGAGGTCCGGTATAGAATTAGGCTTGAATTGGCGAAGTTAGTATTTTGGTGATTTTCGGTTGATGGGTGAGATTTTGATCCGAGGGTCGAAATAGAATTCCGAGAGTTGTTGTGCTTCGTTAGGTGATTTGGGATGTGTGTGCAAAATTTCAGGTCATTCCGACGTGGTTTGGTTGGGTTTTTGATCGAATGCGTATTTTAGAAGTTTTAAAAGAACTTAGGCTTGAATTCGATAATTTTTGTGTTAGTTGCATCGTTGTGATGATTGGAACAAGTTTGGATGATGTTTAAAGATACGTTAGTGCTTTTGGTTGAGGTCCCGCGGGCCTCGGGGTGATTTCGGATGGCTAACGGGAACTTTTGAGGTTGGAAAATTTCATAATAGACGAAAGTTGTAAATGAGTGCGCACAAGACCTAACTTTGGACAATCATATATCCAGTTATATAAGGAGTTGTGTGATCCACAAACTATCAAATTACATCCCTTTGGGTCTAGTTTCCGATGCAACAAACCATTCGTCATTTTGAGGTGTAAACAGAAAGTTATGACCATTTTACTGGGCATATGTCTCTAGAGCGCCCAGATGCGCAATTGCGCTAGTGAACTCACATATTGCGAAGTTTTCTGCCTTCGTCGCGCTACTTTAGCGCGCCCAGGTGCACAACCGCGCTAGTAGCAGGCCCCTAAATACCCCAAGACCGGGTATAGAGAGTTCCCAAGTTATTTTTGGAGCAAGGGCTTGCTCTCTCAAGAGGAATCCGTCCCACTCATCATTTCTATGATCCAAGGTAAGATTTTTGGGGTATTTTGAGTTGATTACTACTCCTAAACACTTATATTAACACGGATTGATCTTGAAAATCCTTAGATTTTCCTTCAAATCCTTGAATTTATCAAGAACACCACAAGTGGGGATTCTTAAAATTCGTACTACAAGAGGTATGTCTATCATCTCCAACTACTCTATGGTGATTATTTATGTATGATATATACATTAGAACTTGGGGTATGGTGATTGGAGGCCATAAATTTCCAATTTAAATACATGATCATGGTAGGGATTTAAAGGTGATTAGTTGATGGAATTTTGTTGGTTGGGTGTGAATGATTGATCACTCATGTGATGTTAGGAGCATAAATTGTTAAAGACTAATGGTGGGTTGAAATTGTTGGTTAATAGTGATGGAGGAACCAATACTATAGTTATGAGGTATAAATATCTATGCCTACAAGATGTTTGATAATAGGCCTAAATGGCATAAGTTATGGGAATTATTACTAATATTAGCTCTATTGATTGTTGTATTGTAGATTGAAGTTACCTAAGAGTAGTGGATCATTGTTGTACCATTAAAGGGCAAGTCCCAGATATGTATGGCTAAACCCCGTCTTTTAGAAATCGAGCTTCATCAATGTTTGTGTGATTTTGGATAGATTCGATGCGCGTGGAGGCCAATTTGAGGGTCAAAGGCATCGCGAGCTAGAGATTTCACCGGTTCGAGGTAAGTAATGATTATAAATACTATCCTGAGGGTTTGAAACCCCGGATTATACGTCGTTGTGTTACTTTGAGGTGACTTGCATGCTAGATGACGAGTGTGGGGTAGAGCACTACTGGGGATTGTGACCTAGTCCATGCCGAATGAATATTTTAATGCGTATTTGATAGTTAATTGTTTGACATTATTATATTTTTGGGTTGTATGCCATGTTTGGGGCCTTGTGCCGACTTGTTGCGACCCTTAGGGACATTTTTACTATCTTTCCTCACTCTATTTTTTTGAAAGCATATTCTCAATCATGTTTTACCTATTTATTGCTCAAATCTAGCTTTATCACTATATTCTTAAAATGTGGAAATGTTTTGGATTGAGTTCCCTGTTTTACTGAGATAAACCGAGGGTCTGATTGTGAGAATGATGACTGAGATAGACTGAGACTCTGATGGTGAGGTTAATGACTAAGAGAGGCCGACGGCCTAGTTGTGAGGATTATATATCTATGGTTCGGGCTACACGCCTAGCAATGTATATATATATGTATATGGATCGGGCTGCACGCCACAACGATACTTATATGGATCGGGATGCGCACCGTAGCACTATAGCGCTTGGGCTGTAGGAGCCCCTCCGGAGTCTGCACACCCCTAGTGAGCGCAGTCGACTATTTATATGGATCTGGCTGTGTGACGACCCAAAGGGTCATCACCGTAATTCTTCCTAGTTCCGTGCTTACGAGGCCCTGAAAACCTATCTTTTAGTTGCCTCGATCTACGTGCTCAGTTCGGGCGCGTAGCCAGAAAGTTTTTATGTTAGAATATGCGAATTTTGTAAAAAATAATTTGATGAATTTTGATATTAATATGCATAATATTAACTTCGGTCAACATTTTGGGTAAAACGGACCCGGACCTGTGATTCGACGGTCCTGGAGGGTCCGTAGAAAAATATGGGACTTGGGCGTATACTCAGAAATCAAATTCCGAGGTCCCAAGCCCGAGAAATAAATTTTTGTGTGAAATTGTTTTCTGAAATTAATTCAGAAAAATGAAGAAGAAAATTGATCAGAAAACTGTAGTATCGGTCTCGTATTTTGGTTCCGATGCCCGATACGAGTCTTAAATATGTTTTAAGCACTATCTATAAAGTTTGGCTAAAAACGGACGTCATATGACATGTTTCAGACTTAAAATGGGGAATTTGAGTTTTTATGAAAGTTGAAAGAAAATCATGTATTTTGAGGCTTGATCCTATGTATATGATGTTATTTTGGCGATTTGATCGCGCAAGTAAGTCCTNCGGTGCTTTTCTGTGCGGTCCGCGTGGTGGGGTTCAGAGGGTCGACCAGCGCGGCCACATAACAAATCAGTGCGGTCCGTGCTGGGTGGGTTCAAAGAGAGCCCACTTATCCCCTCACTCGGCGCGGCCGCGGTGCATTTCTGTGCGGTCCGCGCCAGCCCCCACCAAAATGTATAAATTCGGGATTTTCAGTCATTTTTCCAGTTTTCAAAAACCTAAAACCTAAGAGGCGATTTTCCAAACAACTTTTCTTCTTCAAAATGATTGGTAAGTGATTTCTAACTCATTTTCTTCGCTTCTTAACATCTTTTAACATTATTTCAACTTCAAAACAAAGATTTTCATGGGGGAAATTGGGTGTTTGGGGTAGAACCTAAGTTTTCTACAAATTGAGGAGTTGGACCTCAATTTGGGGTCCGATTTCAAAACAAAGCATATATTTGGATTTGTGGGAGAATGGGTAACCGGGTTTTGGTCCGAACCTCGAGTTTCGACCACGTCGGTCCGGGGGTGTTTTTGACCTTTTTGGGAAAAATCTTGTAAAAATTATTTTCGTGCATCGGGATTGATCCATTTAGTAATTATTAATGTGACTGAGTAACTTATGACTAGATTCGAGCGGATTGGTGGTGGAATCAAGAGGTAAAGCTATA